TTTTTCAAAAAATGTGAGCGGTATTGTAAACAACCCTTAGCCCGTTATTATAAGTTATGATAATGCAAGATCGGAAGATCTATTCAAAACTTGAAACAACTAACAAACGTTTACATCGAGTTTGAAGCAGGCCATGTTATAGTAAGGGCCGCATACATTAACATCCCCGTCGGGAAGGGGATCGCAGTTCAAAAGAAAGTTTCATATTCTGAAGCTCCAGATATCTGGGTTTCTGTTTACCTATCAGTAAGTATTCCCACCATCCTTCCCTATGAACACACTGAACAGAAGCGAGAAGCTGTACAAGCCGCATTTTCCAGCTTTTGAATGATCCCTGACAATCCCCTGCGCTTTTCTTCAAAGTCATTTTTCTTTCTTTGAAGTTCACGAGAACCTTGCAAAGTTGTACTGATTACCTAAGGCCTCGGACAGAGTTCACGCGATTTGATCGTCGCGATTCAATCGCTACAAGATAAGTGTAACGTGTTCATTGCATGCCGATCTTCTTGTATTTCGGTTGTGATAGTTAGTCACCATTAGTCGTGTTGGAAAACTATCATAACCGAAATGCAAGAAGATCGGCATGCAATGAACTCGTAACACTTGTCCTTAGGGATTGAATCGCGACGATCAAACCGCGTGAACTCTGTCCGAGGCCTAGCATAACAGCGAGAACAAATGAGTTTTCAAAAAATTGAAGTTTTCGGTAAATCCCAACTTTCGACTTGTGGTTCGCTGCAAATTTCGTGACTCCGATACATCACTTGTTCTTATCAGCAACATGTTAAACGTTGGGTTAAGTTAGATGATCTCACAAGTTTGGAAGCTTTTAACTTCGGAGAAAGAAAGAGGACTTTGAAGAAGAGCGCCGAGGATCATCAGAGACCATGCAAAAGCTGGAAAATACGGCTTGTACAGCTTCTCGCTGCTGTTCAATGTGTTCGTAGTGAAGAATAATAGGAATACTTACGGATAGTTACACAACGTTGAAATTTAGATATCTGGAGCTTCAGAATATGAAACTTTCTTTTAAGCTGCTCCCCTTCCCGGCGGGGATGCTAATGCATGCGGCTCTAAAGCCGTATGCAGTACATCGTCGCTGGGGAGAGAAGGAGATCTGAGAGGGGATGCATCATATCTCGCTACTCTACGTATCTTTCTTCTTTCTCTATCTTGCGCATGAACGAAGGTTCTCATGCATACTGGATGCCAGGGTACTTCCATACAAGACAGATTTTTTGCATTTCGTGTGATCCCCAGGGAATCTCCAGGGGATCGCAAAAGGATCACCTCTCATTTTCAAAGTCATTTTCCTGAGAATTCAGTGAAAACGCTGTAAAATTGTACCGAGGATATAGTACGGCTAAGCATGTTTTCGACAGGATAAACGGAATCTGAAGATTGTGGATTCTTCGATGATCCCTAGCTCGCGAGCTAGGGATTACCGAAGATTTCGATATCCTGAGATTTCACTTACTTCTACAATAAACATCTTTAGCAGTGCCGTAGTATATCCACAGTAGGATTTTACAGCGTTTTTATTGAGTTTTCAGTAAGATAAATGGCATTGAATTTGAGAGGTGATCCCCAGGGAGACACGTCATCACACAAAATAGTGCAAATCTAATCCATTATGCCAATAACCTGACATCAATCATGCGCAGGTATTAGGGTATGAGAACCTTCATAAGGAAGATAGAGAAGGAAAAAGAAAGATACTAGAGTAGCGAGATATGACGCATCCCTTCTCACAAGGAGAAGATACTTAGTCGAAAGCACCAATCCTGATGAGACATATATCTTCTTAAAGCGCTTGAAACGCTGATTCCAAATCTGCAGTTTCTAATTGCGGAGCGGTTTTGTAGAGGGAGTTATGAGGGTTGTTTCCCTCTGGGGTTGAGGCGCCCTCCACCAGGTCTTCCCCTACCTATGATGTAGAGGAGTACCAACTGGTGGCAACTGACCTGGTGGTAAGTGACGTGCTTGATAAGGAGAGTGCCAAGTTTCAATCCCCTTGGCATGCAACTGTATCGCAGTTTTTGCCAAATTGAGCTTCTAGATGGCTTCAGAGCCATAAAGCCTGAAATTTCTGATGATATTGATGCTAATCGAAGAAAAAAACCAAAATAATAGAGTATTAAAATGCTTACTAGCTTGCTTACCCGGCCCGCTTGGGCTTGTCAAACACTGTAATAAAGGTCCCATCCCTATCTCTGCACAGCCTTTCCCTGTGCCCTCTTCTACACTTCATTTCCCGTTCCCTGTGTTGTTTTCGAAATCAGCATGCCCACTTACCCCTGTGCCAACTCCCAGCCCTGTAGCTCAAAGTTTGCAAAAAATCGACAAAATCGATAAAAGTAATGGATTTCTAAAAACTAATATTGTATTCGTAATCAGCATGCTCGATTACCCCTCTGTGCCAACTCCCAGCCCCGTAGCTCAAACTTTGCAAAAAATCGATAAAATCGATAAAAGTAATGGATGTTTCTAGAAACTAATATTGTATTCGTAATCAGCATGCTCGATTACCCCCCCCCCCCCTGTGCCAACTCCCAGCCCTGTAGCTCAAAGTTTGCAAAAAATCGACAAAATCGATAAAAGTAATGGATTTCTAAAAACTAATATTGTATTCGTAATCAGCATGCTCGATTACCCCTCTGTGCCAACTCCCAGCCCCGTAGCTCAAACTTTGCAAAAAATCGATAAAATCGATAAAAGTAATGGATGTTTCTAGAAACTAATATTGTATTCGTAATCAGCATGCTCGATTATCCCTCTGTGCCAACTCCCAGCCCCGTAGCTCAAACTTTGCAAAAAATCGATAAAATCGATAAAAGTAATGGATGTTTCTAGAAACTAATATTGTATTCGTAATCAGCATGCTCGATTACCCCCCCCCCCCCCCTGTGCCAACTCCCAGCCCCCTAGGTGAACTCTGCAAAAAAATCGATAAAAATCGATAAAATCAATATCGATCGATGACGAAAGGTAGCCTATGACACCCGCCGGGGCCCGAAGTGTATGTGTGCCAAGTTTGGTCCGGATCAGTTCAGAAATAGAATTTTCTATTCGGAACATACGTACAGACAGACATACAGACAGACATACAGACATACAAACAGACATTCAGCTTTATATATTAGGTTGATTCATAATTAATGCACGTTTTCCATACTTCAAATTTCAACCGAGATAATTCTTTTATGAAAAGATATTACTAAGTGCAATTAAAACTACTGTAACCATCAAATCAATGGCTATAAATAATATACTTTTGCGTGACTGTATCTATCACAAGAAAGATTTTCTGGCTTGAAAATTGCCAACAATTATTTTCAGAAGCCTCTACTTTGAGAAAGCATAACTTATGTTGAAATGGAGTTGGATAAAGCAGACTTCACTCATCGTGTAGACAATGATCTCATGAGCAGTAATGCCAAGCTTGGATTTTACGGAAAATTTTTGACAGAAAATATCGCGAAAAAGTCGAAAATGCTCACCATTTTCTGGCATCTCGGCGGGTTCAAAAATCGGCCATTTTTGAAATTTTTATCATTTTTCTCCGCTGGAAAGTGAGAAAACTCTAGCGCTTTTCTACCATCATGAACTAGGTCTACATTTGCTGGGTAGTGCAAAAGACCTGCAATCGCCTTTTGCTCCGAAGTTTTATATGGCACGGAAGGGCCGCGAACGATCATCCAAGTTCGCAATCGAATTTCTCGGCTCAGAATTCATGGAAAATTTTGTTCAAATAGCATCTAGTAGCACGAAGCATCCTAACCCTTATGCATATTTTCTAAAATTAATCCGGCTATTCCTCATAGATTTAGGGCAAAAAGAGTGAAAAGCAATAATTTCGAGATTTAGTCTCTTTTATTTAAAGGCTAAGAACTTTGAAATGAACGGAGATGTACGAAAGCGAAGGCCCGTATAAGAAACTAGAAAAAACGCTCTTTTAGATAGCTAAAAAGTTTTTGAGGGAATCGACTACAAATCAATTGCCAGCTCTTGAAGAAGAGGTGAGAAAAACGTGCATTATTTATGAATCAATCTAATATAAGATTGGAATCTTCATTCAAGTTACTTACCATTAGGCCAGTTGCCACCAGCTGATACTCCTCTGCAGTGCTCATAGATAAGGGGAGACCGCTGGAGGGCGCCTCAACCCCAGAGGAACACCCCTCATAACTCCTTCTACAAAACCGCTCCGCAATTACAGATTTGGAATTAGCGTTTCAAGCGCTTTAAGATGATATATGCCTCATCCGGATTGGTGCTTTCTAAGTATCCTCTCCTTGTCAGATCCTTCCCCTTTCCAGCGGGATGTACGTGCATACGGGCCTGAGAGTATCTCCGTTCAGCAGAAATTGCGAGAAGGCTTTGAAGTCCATTTCCACTGGTTGAATGCTTACGTGATGTAGTTTGTTTGTGCGCGATTACGAACGACCCTATGAGTAATTTCTTGTTGTTCTCTACGATGCATAGCATCATGTGCCATATTTTGACAATAAACGCTTTTCAAAGCAAAGGGGATCCCTTCACGAAGAGCACTTCCAGAATTACATAGAAAGGAATGAACTTTCCCATTGATGATCAACTACGCAGTGGTGGAAAGGATGGAATTAAATGAGCTTTGTTGGAACCAAATAAAAGATGCGTCTTCACCAATTTAAGATACTCGTGTCCTTTTGTGACTTGTACTTCATAAGTTCCACATTGTTGTTTTTGTGTATAAAGAATGCTCTGGTTTCTCTTAACGAGATGATACATCACTATGGGGAAATGGGAAGGAGCGTGAGAGCAACATCTAACAGTGCAAAAGCATCTTAATGCATATGTTTGCAATTACGGAACTGGTGTGTTATGCGGAGCTAGCATGCGTCGCTTCAAACCAAATTCACATCCTTATCAAGCTTGCATTCAGCAACGCAGGATATAATTATCATGTAAAGAGCGGAGGTTGTTAATAGATGATTAGATTTAGGCTGTTCAATATTGTCATCAAAAAGCCATATGAGTGGCAGCAAGTGCGTTTTATATAAAAAAAAAATTCTATAAAAATATTTTTGAACATAATTTTCAGGCAGAGCAATGGGAGGTGGTACTGTGAGAACCTGTTCCTTCCAAAACTATCCCGTTTACAAAATTCTTTTTACAAATTTAGATGTGCTCAGTCACCTCAACTTCATCGTCGGAGAGTCTTCTTTAGCTCTGAATGATTGAGAATAGCCAACTAAAGTGAGAGGCGACATCTGCCGAAAGAGTCGAATAAGAGACGAGGAATGACAATGAGAAATTGAGCTTATGAACGATCATTACTACCATTTCCGGGTTACTCCTTCTTTAGTTTCTTGGCGTTCACCAAGGCAATTAATTTGAACACCACAAAAATCAGTAGCCTCCAAAGGATGTACATGAATGAAACAGTGCAAGCAATGATTGTTGCAATGACGTCTATAGAATGATACTGCACGAAGTTAAGTTTGTTTCCGGCCGGTACGAGATTTTCGAGAGTCTTGAACTCCGCCACAAACTCTGTCCACGACACTAATAAATGAGAAACGCTGACTGGCTTTTTCTTGACCATATTGGAGATCCGCTTGATGACCATTGTGTAGCTGAAACGACAATCTTTGACTTGAGAGTTTTGCCCAGATGCCTTTATTATACTCTTTGATTCAACTCGATTGGCGGTTGGAAGGCAGGGCTTCATGACCTAGTTAGGCTAGAGAATGACCAGAGAGCACGAGCGACTACTCGCGTGCGCGAGCGGCCTTAATTAGCTCACGAAGCCCCGCCTTCCAGCCGCCATTCCACTTGAATCAGGGGTTACCTTTGGTCGTTTAGTATTTTCGTAAGTGCCTCAGCGACAGATTCAGCTGTGATGTTGTTCTTTGAGATGCGGACAGCAAACCCATGGTGTTCAGCAAGTCTCGCATTTTTTGGTTGATCTCCGAACAAAGGTATAGCAATCACTGGTACTCCAGCCGAAATCGCTTCCTTCATCATGACATTACAAAAGCTCAGAAGCTTCGGGCGGAGCTTACCTGCATGCCGTTATATCCGCCATGAGTTATGAACGCCTTGACATTAGGATGCTGCAAGAGATCTGACTGCGGTAGCCATTTGAAGGTGTGGACATTAGACGGTAATTTACCTGCATTCAAATTGTTGTAATCACAATACAAGTGCCCTACTAGCTGTGTATCACAACATTCACATCTCTTCAAGCTAGTTCAGGCATTTTGCAAACGTCTCTATGCTTTCCCCGAAATTCTGATATGTGATAACGACTAAATATCAAGCTTCAGTTTTTCGTTAGAGGAAATACAAGGCCAAAGCACAATGATACATCTTGTGCTGCATGCGCAGATATCAAGTAAATGCATCGTTCAACAGGGTTAGACATTGGAATCAAAAGAGAATTTGAAGATATGATTCAGGAATAGAAAAATACCAGCTGCATAAATCGCTACACTTTTATGTAAAATGTAATGACAGAACGTGACATCAGGGCTTGGCACAGGTGGCTTGTGGAGCAAGCAGGGTATCGTTTTGAATCAAAAAACAAGGGGATATTGTTTAAGCGGAACAGCCCCCTTCCCCCTCCCCCCTCCTCCCCCACAATCACTTCCTCCCTCTTATATCACCCTTTAACTTCTATGGGATGCAGATTGCCATTTCTGCCTTATCGATCCCATTCCTGCAAAACCAAAAACTTCCTGTTTCAACAGGTTCGCCGCTTAAAGGCAGCGGCTCGGCATTTCCATCTTTTTGCATGTTTTGGGCCTTCTCGACCCGTAGATCCCGAACCTGAGCTTTGAAAGGGGTGAAAAGGCCTTTTTCCGAGCGTTTTTTTCAATTTCCAAAAGACAGCTCGGACGAGAATTTTCAAAGGAAAGTCGGGAGGCCCTGGCACGAAGACCCTGCTGCCTGTACTTTTGGCTTTGTAGCATGCACAATGCGGGAAAGCGGCTGGGGGGTCCCGCGCCGTCTAGCGGAGAATACTCGTCCGAACAAGGTGTTAGGGGAGCGAAAGGAGGAAGGGGAGCGGCGCTTGGACCGCCCCCTGGCTTGCAGAGTTCACATTTTCGGCGCGGAGTTGCTGTTTTGGTTCACTTGGAGGGCCTCCTATCCATCTGTGTCAAAATCTGAGGTAGGTCAATCTGCCGAGCCGCTGCCTTCTAAGCGCGCGAATTTAAACCTGCCTCGAAGTTAACAAAAGATTGTTTACAACAGAGAAAAAATGAAATGACAGCAAAATTGGTGTGTAGATGGGCAGTAGGGAGTTAGGACTATGTACGAAAAATTATGGAACTGAAGATGTGGCATACTCTTTCTGAAGTAGGTGGCTTTCCAGCAACTTGGACAGCCGCCTGAAGTGGCTGTGAAAACAAAAAGTCAATTTTTCTTCCTTCACATAATTTCCCCACACTATGTTCAACATGACTTTGTTCTACATCGAAAACCCTACAACAGAGTTTATGAATCTCTCTAAACCCCCTCTTTCTCGCCTAGTTACAGCCATTCAAATGTTTTGTATGAAGGCGGAAAGCCTGTTCCTGGCGCGCAAGGGTGCGCGCCGGACACGGCATGCCACCAACTCGGAGAATACGAACATGTTTAGTTCCTTTTCGTCTGTTCAATTTGTTTTTATTTTTGTTCCATTATTTTTCGTTATCCGTTTTGATCCAATCATAATCGCGCCATAGGTTTTAGGTGGCGAAGTCTACAAGAACTTTGTTTTTGGAAAATTGAAAGAGCCATCTCATGAGCACTGCCTGAGTATACCTACAGACTCGAAATTATCGGTCTTACCTTGCAAATCAGCTCCCACATATCTCCAGATAAAATGGTAATTATGAAAGCGCTCGAAAGCTTCAATAAAGGCCGTCTTCCAAGCCAATGGCATTTTTTCAGAGGGAGTTATTGAACCAAACGAGAATACAATGAATCCTTTGCCTGCATCAGCTATTCGTTGATACTCCTGAAATATGATACTAAAAGTTCCCAATATTTTTTTTGTGCATAGGATGTCGCAGCACTTACATTAATCAGTTTCTTTTGAGGTTTGAGCTAAGAATTAGAAGGTTTGCTGTTTTTGGAAAGTGTTGTACCTGCGTCTTCTACATTAATTTCACGCATATAAGGCGCAACTTTTTCGGTTTTTTAAGCGAGCCGCTCAGCCGCTTCAGTGTTTTCGGAAAGAGAAATCCTGCACGATTCTCTCAAGCAATATATAGCACGTTACAGGGTCCTTTGGTTGCGGTCCTTTGGCGCGTTTGGGCTGATCGAATGAAAAAAAAAAACTCTCGCTCTTTTACGTGTGAAATAGGGTAATTCGAAAAGGAAAACTTGTGTTAAGCATCAAGCTCGACACGAAGCTGTCATACGTTTGTGAGTTGAGTTTTTCTCTTCATCTCACATTTTGAACACAGATCTCATTACTTCAACTGATATTGCAATCGGCGATCGTTTCGCTACAATAAAGTTCAAGTCAATGAGTGCTCCGGCAACAAGGATTCAAAACTCGGCTGGGGGATTGTATATCCAAAAAGAGAAGTCGCGTGAATCTGCAACAAATAAGCACCTCTCGCTTTCATATGCGGTGCGTGCTTCTTGCAAATGCCAGCGCGGAACCTCTTTTTCGGCGACATACAGCCTCTACCCGGGGCTCCACCTTTTCTAGAAAAGATGCGCGATTTGGCGAAAGTAAAGGCTAATCATACTGTTTGGAGAGTGATTGGCTTGGGACACCGTTGCCCCTGTCCATTTGCGCACAAAGGGTACTAAATAACAGTGGTCTTGCCTCGCTTGTCGTACACTAATAACGTAGTAGATCCTTGTTACTGCATCGTGTATGTCATATTCGGTAACTACTAAGGTCATTAACAAGAATTACTGGACACTTGAAATCCAGGTCGATGCTTTACTATGGTTGATAGTCTACGCGGCACCTACTTCCACCTAGGCAATTTTTGGTTCGACATACCACTATCGGTTGCCCAGCACACTCAAGGTTGATAGTCAACGGCTGAGCCCCTGCTAACTGACAAACAGTTCTATAACGTAGTGGTGCCAGCTTCATTCATCCAAATCGCTCGCTATCCATTGTTTTATCCAATATTCTTGCCTTTTTTTTCACTTTCACGCAAATTTCGCTGCAAACGTTTCATCGCTCTAGCTCTGACTGCCTAAACCTCTCGCAATTTGCAAAGTCAAAGGGAACTTTTTTGGAAGTCTCTAGCGGCGATGCATGCCGAGCCCTGACTATCTGAGCATCAACCTTCATTCAAGGTCAACTTTATTAGTCAGCGGTAAGAGATTCTGTCGAAAGTGCCTGAGTACTTATGAAATTCAAACTCACTGGGGCTAATGGCTTTGCATCTTTCAGCTGGGCCCCTATTCCACCTATATTTACTATTTTGGCGAGTGTAGGCCTCGGGTAGTCGTAAAGTTCATTTGAGTTCACCATCACCTGAAGTGAAATGCTAAGATATCAACCACTTCAATGGTTTTCTGTTATCTACCAGTGGGCACTGCTTCGCCAATTCGAGCAAGTCTGGAAAGTCGGGATCAATCAACTCACGGAACAAGGCGGTCTCTTTGTCGGTTACAATCCTGTGCAAACATCCTTACGCAAACGAAATTAGATAAACGATAAAAAAAGATGAGGTTATGGCTTATCATTAGTATGTATCTCAAATCTTATATATGAAGGTGAACATCCTCTGCTTGTATGTATTTATGCACACAAACAATTTGTATGCATTAACGTGTGTGAGTAGTGCGTTCGAAATAATACTTCGAATATAGATCAAGTTTTTTTCTTCAATTCGTGAATGAACAAATATTCGATCAGGTCCTTTTCGTCTATTCGACTTTTCGAATAATCAAATAAATGCATTTTCCTAAATATTCGATTATTCTAATTCGAATAAATAGTTTAAATACGATTATTCGAAAAAATGCGGTTCCGACTATATTTCCGGCAGATATTGGCATATGAAAGTGAAACCGAGACAGGGAAATGTTGTACGGAAACTATATGATGATGTTTAACACATTGACGAGCTTTTGCATACGGTGTGTCAAGCAATGACTACTGCTTCACACACATGGTGTGTCAAGGCTAAATTCTACTTGATTAACGTCTATCTTTGGAAAGAAACTCATTCTGGGGTTTATCATTCGCGCTGAATCTAGCAATAACCATCTTTCTTGTCAGATTCTCAGAGCTACTTTAGGCATGTTGTGGATGGCAGTTTGTGTGACTGTATCTGAAAAATGTTGACTGGCCCTTGAAGGGCCTCGGTCCCAAAAGCAAACAACTATAAGTCTGCGTGGTCGTCAGTGTGTTGAATAATACATTCGGGTCAAGCGTGGGGTGTGGCAAGCCATACCTGGGGGGTCGTATTGAGGAGTCAAAAGGGGAGGGGGTCGTAGTTGGGTAATCTGATAATAGTGATGACATGATATTCGTATCATATCCATAGCATGTCAATTAACCCCTGTAGACAAAGTTTGAGCGAATTCTAATTGTAAGATTCAAGATACTAGGCTACTCAAGTGAAATGTTCATATTCCAACATGTTAACTTTGTTTCAAAGATGAACTAGCTATCCATTTTTGCACTCAAGACAAAGCACTACTCCTTCTTTGTCCATTTCAGAAATTCCGCTACAAAAGACCTCCAAACTGTGGAATTAGAAGCCAACCAAAATCTCATTTTTCCCATTTTTCGCTTTCTATGGCTGTGTTTTCACCAAATATTACTCAGAGCTAAGAAGACGAATCAGGCTTAAAACAATCCTATGGAATCTACGAGGTTTAGGCTATCGATTCATATAAATACTTCGCTAAAAATGCTTTTTTTGATATTAATGGGGTGTGGCACACCCCATTGGAGCCCGTATGCACGTACATCCCCGCTGGAGAGGGGAGGGGATCTGAGAGGGGATGCGTCATATCTAGCTACTCTACGTATCTTTCTTCTTCTTTCTCTATTTTGCTTATGAAGTTTTTCATACACTTATACCTGCGCATAATGGATGCCAGGTTACTTCCAACAAGATTGGGTTATAGCAAGTTAAAGTGAAAAAAGGAAAAACGCTCATTATTTTTGCATCAACCTAATATAAATGACTGACGCAAAAATAATGAGCGTTTTTCCTTTCTTCACTTTAACTTGCTATAACTTTCTGCGAAATCTACATTTTGAAGTTTGATAAAGAAACACAGCGCACATTAACCTATACTCATATCTCATATGGGCAGAAAAATATGGAATGAAAAACAAAAAAAGTTTTATCTAAAGTCTTGTTTTTGACGAAACATAATTCCTTTCACACTTTGTTATTTTAAATTATAAACAGCCTATCTTGTAGCCGCAAGCCAGTGGTATAAAAACACTTGGAAAGGGCTTGAAGAAAAAGAATTAGCGAAGAGGAAACTTCGAAATTCAAAAATATCAACTTTTCCAGCATTTTTTCAGTAGGCCTCAAAATCCCTAAGTATAGAATTCTCTAAATTTCTGCGTACTGAACAGCTAGATGTCTTTGCTAAAACTGTCAACAGGATGCCCTACTCTCGCGCTTACGGAGATGAGCAAAGTTTGAGCGACTGCTTTCTACAAAAGAAAGTTATGGACTCTAAAATGACCACAACTACTATCCATGTTAAGCCGCCCTTATCTCACTTTAGATAACTTCAAAAAATATAGTTAAGTGTGCATAATGTAGACAATTTCCATATATAGCGGCTAAATTTTAAAAAAGCACCTCAATTTGCGCTTAATTTCTGGCCAGAAAAATTAATGCAAAGAAAATCTGGTTTTGAGTGCGCTTATTGAAGCTCTATAAATTCTTAACAAAGTGGGCTAGAAGCCCCTTTCGGACACCATTGGATAGTGCATGAAAAGAGCTTTCTCACAAGGGAAGTTCGCCGAATCGAAGTGGCCGATTGATACGTGGTATATACCCGGACGCGGGGCTCGGAAGGTTAGTAATAAATGTGCGCCCATTAGCTGCGACGCGTTATTGTGAAGCAAGTTATGGCCCTCTGAAGGTTTTGGCGTGTGCATGTCTAGAGAGCACACAAATGCTCCGATTGTGGTCGTGTGGTGTAGTGGTTAGCGTCTCGGACTCACAGGTGACCGGTGAGGGTTCGAATCCTGTTGCTGTCCACATGTTTTGCGTTCTTCTCAAAAATCATTTTTTACCTGTTTTGTCAGTGTTCTGAAACCGTTTCAAAGAAAGAAGTTTGATGGAGAAAAGTTGTCCTGAAAAAAGCCCTAGGAAAACGCTCATTATTTTTGCATCCCTAATATTTCTGAAAAATCAATAAAAAAGGTGCAAAATTGTACAAAGGATATACTACGGCACTGCTAAGCATACTTTCGACAGAAAAAATGGAATCTGAAGATTGCGAACTTTTCGATGATCCCCGGCTCACGAGCCAGGGATTACCGAAGATATTGATATCCTGAGATTTCACTTATTTCTACTATAATTATCTTTAGCAGCCCCGTAGTATATCCACAGTACAATTTTTGCAGCGTTTCTTTGAGTTTTCAGGGAGATAAATGGCATTGAAATTGAGAGGTGATCCCCAGGGGATCCCCGGGGATCGCACAAAATAGTGGAAATCTAATCAATCACGCCAGTAACCTGGCATCCATTATGTGCAGTTATAAGGGTATGAGAACCATCATAGGCAGGATAGAAAAGGAAGAAGAAAGATATGTAGAGTAGCGAGATATGAGCATCCCCCTCAGCCGAGATGTAAGTGCATACGGACCTAAAAGCTGTGGCAGCCACAGGGGGGTAGTCTAACCAGCGATCGGGTGCCACACCCCATGCTTGACCCTGACACAATGTAGAAAGGACCAACGGAGCCGGAGGTATACCACCTGATACGCTATGTGGTTTTTCTAGTTTGGAGGAAAGCAAGAACAACTTACCATTTCCATATAGGAATCATCAGCATGTACCCAATGACGCTTTTTGTTCTTTCCAAAAAATTCATCGTGTCCGTGCTTTCCATTACCATTGCTAAACGTTCATGTTTTAAAAAGGGGTCACATTTTGCTTTTGATGCGGTTTGATTGTCTACAGTTGGTCGATAATTTCCCAGCTAATTTTTTGCTTGTTGCTTCTTTGCTTCCGTCTGACACCATTTATTATATAAGTGAGAGCCGCATTACCGAAAAATGTGCTGCGCATGAAGCACTTCCCAACTTTTGGAACTGACCATCTATCAAAAATTATGAGCAAAGTGATGTAATGCTAGCCATAAACTCACGTGGAACATAGCTAGGAATGAGTGGCACACCCATGTGATACGCTACAAATTCCATCAAAGCAGCGCTGTAACAGATATTTTACATATGCTGGTCCACAATTTTTTGACTAACCTGACCTATTCAGCCAAATCCACGTTGGAATTTTGGCGTGATGTATCACACCAATTGGGCAAGCATTCATAACGTAACTAAATGCAAGATCGAACTTTTGGTCGGCCAACCACTCGAGAAACTCTTTATTTTCCAGAATCTCTAGAAAATGATATCACAATTTTCTATAATAGTAAATATGATGACGCAAGCTGTCTCTGATTTCTTAGGATTGATAGCATAAAATTTCTTACTTTTGCAGGAATTTATGAACAACGAAGTAGCTCGATTCATCATTTTTCGAAACCTGTAGTCCCATATCGGAAGATCCTGAAGGAGATTGCAAACTTGACAGACTACTTGACTTACTTTCCTTGAAAATAAATAAGTTCATGTTTCACATTTATTCAGAAGTAAAGTTTGCATATTTTTGAGTTACTGAGAAAAGTTTTTTGACTTTATTCCACTCCACCCTCCTTCCCCAAAAAGGTTCTGGGAGCTCCATTTTGTGCCGAATAGTGCGTAGGACGCAGAAATGCAACGATAACGTCGTTAAAGGCAGTATCCTGGCAAACTCGATTGAGATTTGCTCACCTTGGAGCTATTCGCTATGCTAAATCCGGGGACCCACTTTAGTGAGCGCGAAAATGACAAAAAAGATCTAACGCAAAAGGGGAATCAGCAGGTGGGCGAGGTCTCCCACTCTGTGAGGTCACTCGTCTAGCTTTCAGAGTGATCTTCTCTGTTCCGATTTCAAGTCATGCGTTCGAACTTGGCCGGGTACGATGTTAGGGCGGTAGCGGAAGCGAAGAGTGAGCCATAGTGGAAAGCCCCGCCTGACCTGCTAATTTTCCTCCTCTTTAAAATCCCTTTTTCGCAATTTTCGCGCTCTCCACTGTAGATTTCCGGACCAGCATGGCGAATATCAGACCCAGGTCAGCACAAAATCTCAAAATTGAATGTTTTCTCGGACACTGCGTTTAAACTCTGTACACATTTGTGACCACGGCTTATAAAAGGCGGCCACTTGATGACTAAGAGAATGGGCACTTTTTCATTTTCTTGATTCACGGTAGCACGCTGTGCACCTGACAAGGCATTTTCGTCATTTAAGATCGCTTCAGATACTCTGTGAAGGGGACTCCAATGTTATTCAAACACTAGTTTGGAACTTTTCTTGGCAAGTCCTTGGTGGCCTTGGTGTTCATCTCAGGCTTCTTGCGCATTGATTCGACTGAGCACACCCTCCTTTCTAATTCGCTGGATCTTTTATGTGCTACAAGATCTGAGAAAAGTGTTCAAATCTGGGGTTGTGCGACGTTTGAAATGTTTGGAACTCGTGAGTTTCAGGCTCAGGCAGTTTGAACACAATCCTTTCTTTTGATCATCATTTAGTGCTGAAAAGATCACAACACTTTTGTACCAACCTGATATATGAACTCCTGCTGCTCCTCTTCAAAGTCTTTCATCTTCACACCCGAGGAACCATTGAGGTAATAGGCTAAATAAATTGAACCTATTGCAGTTAGAAACTAGCATTTGTTAAAAAGAAAAAAATGTTTCATAAAACAGCAAAAACTTTTTGCAGTACAGTAAGTAGAATGTCTAATGTTATGCATCGTGCAGTCACAAACGTGGTTCTATTTTTGGAGCGCCAAATATCAAGTAGCTGCTTAGGTATAATCCAATCCAGTTAGTCTCTCCTTTTGTGCAAGTACACTCTTTTCGATTAAGGAACATTTGTAGTATAGTAGCAACTTCGCACTTTCTTATGAGTATACTCGCTGACCTTGTAAGTGCGCTATTGAATGTGACCATTCCATGGATCAAAAGTGATGCTTCCACACATAACTTGTAAAATCTGACTAGTTTACTTAAGATGATTATTTGGCTTTTCCGAGAAATTCAAGTAGTACTTACTTGCAAGGAAATGATCAGAAGCGAAGTGCCATTCCAGGTAAGCTGCCTGCCACTCGATGCAGCATTCAATGCTGACCTCGAATCTATATTCTATATCTGCTTCATGCACGAAGTTATGAGCAGTTTTATTGCGAAAAAATCGTACATAGAAATTGCGAAATGAGCAGATTGTTGCACCTTCAGCTCATCTTTAGGCTTAAGAACATGGAATAATCCAGATGCATTTTTTGACCTAGCAAAAGCCGAAAATGACTCTGTTTAACAAAATACGGCCCGCTCACATAGGCGCTAAGCAGATGTGGAATACAGATTCGAAGTAGCATTTCATGCCGCATCTAAAGGTATGCAGCTTATCTGGGTTGGCCACTTCGAATTCTAGCCATTCCCTTGTTGGAGCAGTATAAAAATCTTCAGTCAATCCAAATTTGTTAATATCTCTCAAAATGTCCTTCTACGTATATGTGACATCTGAGAGAACTGAACATCTTAGAATGATAATTTTCAGACTTGGATATTTGACCATTATCGAGCTAAACTCTCTAAATTCTGAAATCTTGCGTTTTTTTTGCTGCAGTTGTATAAATCTTTGCGAAACCTCAAAGAGCAGAACAAAAGAGTTTGAAAGCAGCACCGTATGACTTTGTCTGTCATTAGGTCTCAAAAGCTGCCAATAAAGAACGAAGATCAGAGGAATGCTGAGCATGACAAGAATGAACATTATGGACCATACTCACTTGGACATCATTTGGGTACATTGCAAAAACTTACATCAAAATGAAACCATCAAAAAGAAAAGCAAAGCGCAGAATCCAAAATCAAGTGCTTTCCATCAAGCCGTTTTTACGAGATTTCTGTGATTGTTAAGAAGCAAAGAAAAACATATGGCGACTTATGTAGTTGGCTGATTAGTGAAGCATGGCTAAATAATCTGCAAAGCTTTACTAGATACTTTGGTTGAAATGTCTTCGTGGACAAATGTGTTCCTACCAAAGTCATGAATGGGTCAAAAGCGTCTTGTTTTCCAACTGTTGTTGAGATATTTCGCGTGCATCTTTGATACCGAGAACGCAAGAACAGTTTTAAAAATATTCAGGATTCAATCGTTCAAAATCCAAAGTACTTTGTATTTTAGATGGGACCTTCACAATCTTTATGTCATCTTCGTCCAGAACTTGCAGCATTATCATAGTAACATCATGCCCTGCTTTGGACAGGGTGTCAGCTACTCGAATATTGAAAACCACCTAAAGCAAAACAAAAAAGTTAACCCATGAAACACATTCTAACTTACCTGACTTTTGGCCACACATGGAACGAATATGACCAGCTTATACGCAGCAACGCAACTTAAAAAGACCGCGGACGAGACAAGTGTGTAGGGTAACATCTTCGGTACAATTGTGTTTTTTTTACAACACCACAGGCTGTTATCACTTTTCTTAAGTGATAATGATAAAAGCACAGCGCTGTGTAGGAAAACAAAAAATGCTGACGATCTTAAATGGAGTTTTATGTTTTTGGATGTAGCAAATTCCAAATTGCTGACTTGTTTCTAACCTACAGAAACTCGTTCAGATTGCACTACACGGTTGTAAAGCATTTGCTGCCAAGTACGTCTCTTTTTGTGGTGCGCGAAGAGTAATTTTAGGTGACCTCTGGAAATTCACAAACAAGGTGGATCTACAATGTCTTTGATCTAAAGATCTCGAAAACCAGACCTAGATGGAAATTCAACCTGATCAAACAACTGTCCATTCATAAGATCACGACTTATATGCATACGTGATAACGGTAAGGTGGAATGTAGATGATGCGAGCTGTTGACATGTTTTCTCCAGAAGTTTCTTTATCTTTGTATCAAATTCAAATCAAACAGCTTATCAGATGATTCCGATATCAAGTAAATTGCGAATAAGCGGTTGAGAGAGAAGGTCGAAAAGCGCGTATTGATTGTTTGCCACTAACTAAGAGAAGCACAAAAAATAATACAATATTTTGTCCCTCCCTATCGAGTTTCAGCTATTTAATTCTTCACCGCTTTCTCATATACAGACAAAACTCCCAGACAGAAGAAATCTTGCTTTTTTGAATATGAATCTAGCCTAATAATGAACTTCACCAAAAGCCCCTCTCAACATACCCTTTGCTTCAACCAGGTTGGCGGTTGAGAGACGGGCCGTGACCTAATTAAGGCTAGAAAATGATCAGAGAGAATGTTCACGAGGGAGCGCAGACTGCGTCGCGGACGCGAAAAGTCGCCCCCTAGGTCTTGAAGCCTCGCCTTCCAGCAGCCGGTCTGGTTGAAGCAAAGGTACACCCGAGTGTTGAAGATCAGCCTTAGCAAAATTTGCCTCTCACCGCGGAAGATTACCCATATATCACTGAAAACGCTTTGCAACGCCAATTTCTAAACTGCCTTTGATTTTTACTCGAGCGATATTTATACATTGAAATCAGCATCGTTTTGAATGACTGATTGTATGTCAGCGAATGAGGCGTTACGAAGTATAGAACAGCATTCAAATAAAATTGAAATCGCCGTTACCTAGAGCACATAAGTTGTTTCAAATACTTTTTGAGTGTAAAAGGTCTAATAATTTGATTCTTTTACTTATGAGCCGACATTTTGGGCTGTAAGCAACAAGTGTATTTTGTACACATGGTAGGTTTCATACATCTAACAAGGAGAGGATACTTAGTCAAAAGCACCAATCCAAATGAGACGTATATCATCTTAAAGCGCTTGAAACGCTGATTCCAAATTTGCAGTTTCTAGCTGCGGAGCGGTTTTGTAGAAGGAGTTATGAGGGGTGTTTCCCTCTAGGGTCGAGCCGCCCTCCACCATGTCTCTCTACCTAAGCACTGTAGAGGACTACCAACTGGTGGCAACTGGCCTCATGGTAAGTAACTTGAATGAAGACTACAGTAAGGATCATAATACTCGTACTACTTTGGCTTTTTAACACTTCTATAGCATCAATATCATCAAAAATTTCAAGCTTTAGAGCTTCAAAGCCATTTAGAAGCTCAATTTTGCAAAAACTGCGATAAAGTTGCATGCGAAAAGGATTAAAACCTTGACACTCTCTTTATCAAGCATGTCACTTACCACTAGGTCAGTTGCCACCAGTTGGTACTCCTCTACAGTGCTTATAGTAGGGGGAGAAATGGTGGAGGACGCCTCCACCCCAGAGGGGAACACCCCTCATAACTCCCTCTACAAAACCGCTCCGCAGCTAGGAACTGCAGATTTGGAATCAGCGTTTCAAGCGCTTTAAGATGATATATGTCTCATCTGGATTGGCGCTTTCGACTAAGTATCCTTTCCTTGTAAGTTGTTCGTTATTATGTCGTTTTGAGGGGTTTTGCACCATAGCAAGTTCTATAACATTATCCCAAAGTATTTTCAGTGTGTCGGGACGCAGCTATTACCCAACAGCTGCTCGCGATGGAGGTTGGCCTAAGATAGCGAACCTCTGGCAGTGACCTCCGCCCGCCGGCAGGAGCCGGTGCCTTCTTCCCCCTTTCCCTTTCCCCTTTTGTATATAGTTCATATAATAAATATTATGATAAAAAAATCCACAGTGCTTCTGAACATGTTGAGATATCCAGTTTAAAATTCTGATCGGAAGCAATGTCCCCTTTTTTTTTTGAAATGATCAGTCGAAGCTGACAATAAGCAACGAAAGCATAGTTTTTTTGTCGCAGTGAAATTTATTCTTGGGAATGAAAAGGAAACTGTTTAGAACGTTTCACGTCATCCAGTCCTCGTTTTTTTTCCTAGAAAACGATGGTTTTGATTCCTTTACAAACTTCAGCAGAATTCGGATTTGGAGGTTGAAAAAACGTAGACAGCTCCCATAAATTGCACATCAGTAATGAATTATCATATGTTAAAATCATTTACGCTGAAGTTCTCATGCTTATGACCTAATCTACATATCGTAGTTTTTGCAGCGGAAGCTTTCTGTTAAAGTATTTCTATGTTAACATTATTCTTGTGTTTAATTCAAGCTGTACAATTCAATCTGCATTTCCACTTTGTAAATGTCGATTATCGGCTAATGCTTCCAAAATAAATATCAAAAAAAATTTTTTTTGAAAAAAAAAGGAAACATCAGAAGACGAACGACAATATGTTTGTATTATCGATGATCGTAGTCTTGAAATCGGTTCCAAAACCACAGGACAAGTTTCTGAAGCAACTCAATTTAAAAGATCTGATTAACTGCGTTTTTTTTTTGTCCTCGTAATGTTTCCCGATGTAAGTTTGTTTACATTTATTTTGCCGCACCGCCGCGTTTATCTATATGCACGAAAGTCTTTGAACCGGCAATTCAAAGAATGGAAAAAAATATTTCATACTAGGCAGCAAAAAAAATTCACATTGTTCTAACACTCAATTTGCCACTATGTTGAATCAAACGCAGTTTGTTGTGCTTGGTTAGGCATATATTTCTCTTCGTTAAGTAAACAATCGCATTATTTATATGCTGTATAACTATGTGTCATTTGATTCAAATTACTCTCTATCACACGTTCAAACTCAACAAGTCGGTTAACTAATTTATGTTGAATGTAACTTCAGAATTGCTAATGTCATCGAATACTACCCAACTCTGTTAACTATGTATTTTCTGCTCACCAACTTTTTTTTGTATTATCAAGTTCTACACAAAACATTCCTCAGCCGATTTCCACCTACTTTACATACATACATACATACATACATTTATTCATCCTCAGCGGTTATATACAATTAGTACCGCGATAATTCCGTTTATGGCTGCGATTCCGACTTCGATCGTCTTCGATGACAAGATTACTCTTGCTCGTGCCAACCAGTGCATTCGTAACGCTGCGCTGTCCATGACTTCTCGACCAAGTAGACGCAGTGGACCAGCCACGATTTCTTCCACCTTGTCTTCTTGGTCATCCTTACAAGGGAACGATACTCGGTGTCCGTGGCCTTTTGAAATGAGATGTATACCATTACACTCGTCCTGGAACGCTGATTCCAAATCTTACTTCCGTTTCTGCTAATCGCTCCAAAGATGTTATCATGGATCGCGCACAGTTTGGCTGCCCAGTGAAAATTTGTCGGAGTGCCAATGACATAGGTGCGTTGTGGTCTAGTGGTTAGTGCGATAGCCTCACGAGTTGATGCAGCTCTAGGTTCGACTCCTCTTGTGTTTTTTAGTTTTGCGTTGACTCAACTAACCTTCTTTCACATCCTCAAGTTAAGTGAACGCCCTTACTCTTGAAAAAATGTGGAATTTTAGAAAAAATCACTACTGTTTGCGTTAAAATGTATTTAATGGTCATAATTCGAGTAAACTTTCTCGAACAAGGTTAATTGAGGCAAAAGTAATGCGAAAGTAAAAATGCAAAGGATATGAACCTACATCAACTTATGAGGCTATCGCACTAACCATTAGACCAGAACGTGGTCGCAGTAGAGGCCGTTCCAATGACCGTATTTCCCTTAAGCGGCCAAACCTGGATCGAAATTCCTTCATAACTTTTTTCAGAGAAACGATTAGCAGGAACGGAAGTCAGATTCGGAATCAGCGTTCGAAAACGAGTGTAATGGTGTACATCTCGTCTCAAAAAGCCACGGACATTGAGTATCGTTTCCTTGTTAGTGGATGGTATGTGTCAGAGCTAAGAGCTAGCCGACCTTTTGAGGGAAAGATGAGGAGAGAAACCTGCTACTCTTATGAAATCCAGTCACACCATCAAACTTCTATGAATCTCAACCTACAACCACATTCATCTGTCAGTCTCGAAAGCATGTCTTATCACCATGCAACTACATGTCAAAGCAGTTCCCCGCGCCACATCCTTCATTTTCGTATATCTCTCAGCTTGAGGACAAGCTTACTCACAAGGGAATGGTCAGAAGTCGAAGTGGCCAATCCATACAAGCCGCATACCATTCGATGCAGCATAGAATGCTGATTTCAAATCTGTCTTCCATATCTGCCGAGCGCCTTTGTAGGCGAAGTTATGAGCAGCTTTACTGCGAAAAAATCGTATACAAAAATTGCGAAATTAGGCACGTTATTGCCATTTCAGCTCACCTTTAAGTAGGGATCATATAAATTGGCTTAGTTGCATGTTTTGGTCCAACACTGAGCCGAGAATAGCTTTGTACGGCCAAGTTTGCACTTTACACGCACAATTTCTAAGCAAAATAATGGCCTTCAGCGGCTTATAATTTTGTTCACAAAAGCGCTCTGCAGATAAGGAAGACAGATTTAGAGTCAGCGTTTTATGCTGCATCTAATGGTATGCAGCTTGTGTGGATTGGCCACTTCGACTTCTAACCATTCCCTCGTCAGTATTCCCAGGATGAGGTGAAGATCGTTGGTTGCTTATCCAGCTCGCCTGAACAAAATTCCCTACTCGATCGATGAATCTGAGGATAATGGTACCGAAGTCGAAGTTCTGTATGGCCTCGCCGTACCACGTGTACTCCTTACACACGTTACTCGGGAGACATTCAACAACAGCCAAAAAGCTCAAGGACAAGCTTTCTGAAGGAATGGAGATGTCGGGACGCAGCTATTACCCAGCAACTGCTCGCGATGGAGATTGGCCTAAGATAGCGAACCTCTGGCAGTGACCTCCGCCCGCCGGCAGGAGCCGGCGCCTTTTTCTCCCCTTCCCTTTCCCCTTTTGTATATAGTTCATATAACAGATATTATAGTACGACTAATGTAAACCCCGCTACATCTCAGGCAAAGGACCTGCAGACCTTTATCCACAAGTGCCAGAGAGAAAAACATTGCATTATGTACAATCTACGCCACTGCTTCCACTGCTTGTTTTTCAAGCAACAAGCTTCCTACCTTTTATTACAAACCCTTTTTTGTTTTTTTTTTTACTCAAAATAGAAAATTTGTACTAATTCGTATTCTTCAAGTTCATGGAGATGGTATAGACTTTACAGTAACGTTTCGATAAATGTTCAACATTAGCAGTATTCATTCATTAGGTCGGCTTTTGCTTGAGGTGCCCTCTAAACTAATTCCATCACTTTTACATACATATAACTTAGAAAGCAAAGGCATGCACCCTGAACTATCCTAGATAAAGCTGCCAGTGAAATTTTGACCTCAAAGGTATAGGTGTCATAAAAGTGCAAGGAGATAAAGCTTATTGCACACCTGCTGAGATTCCTTAAAAAAGCTCTTACAAATATTTTTGCACGTCGACGATGCAAGAACCTCATTTTAGGAAGGGCTGCTGAAGTCACTGTACCGGACGAAAACAGAAAATATGCAGTATTTGCATATCAATTTTGTATACGGTCCAAAAGAACTCAAAAAGGCAAATTGACTGGTATACTGAATAACCACCCAATAACATTATCTCCAGGGTCGAGCAAGAGGTGTAGCACACAACCGCCGGATACGAACCCCTCCCTAAGTTCTGTCTCAATACCCTACTCCCCTCCGCATTATTGTTCGCCTCCCGCAAACATGACACTAAGGCTCTACCAAGCATATTTGATAACATATTCGTGATTATCACATCAAGTAACCCCCTGTGGGCCAAGTTTTAGCGAATTTTGAGAGTTCCCAAGCCATCCAAGTGAAGAGGTCTTAAACACGGTTTAACCATACCTCTTAAGTAAATTAGCTACCCTTTTCGCACTCGATACGAAGCACCGCACTGCCTCTTTGCCCATATAAAGTCCTGCTTCAGAGCATCAAACTATGAAATTAGGAGGCAGCCAATATCTCATTTGTCCCACCTTTCGCTTACAGTGGTTGTCCTTGACAACTATTGCTCAAACGAAAGAAGACGAGCTCAGCTCTAATTATTTCTGTAGAAACTACGGGATTTTGGCTACCAAACTGTGTATAATTCGTTCCCAGCAAGCAAATAAAACTCCTGAAAACCGGACAAAAACGCTGCATTGAGTTTGAGCTCTTTCATTTTGCGTCTTTTGAAGTGCAGGTTTTCGCTCCAGGACCAGGCAATCCGCAAGGCGAGGGAAACGAAGAAATAACTTCTTCATTGTGATTCTTTCAAAAATGACCATTTTCACAAATGGTGATTATCAGAACAAGATAAATGAAAGTAATTACTTGTGAAAACACAAAGTTTCTTTTATCTAAGTCGAAATACACGTCAAAGCCAATTTAGTTTGATGCGTTCTTTGAATTTTTGAGCCCGCATTGTCGTTCCTCTTTCTTAGGACGTTGTAGGATTGTTGCGCTCATTATTCTGAGCAATAATCGAGCAAACTGGAAAAAATCACTGCGACAATACCGAAAGAGGACAATGTAAAGAAAAACGCACTTTTTACGTTTTTCGCGGAAAATTCCGCCATAGTCGAAGAGGTAAGCACTGTTTCACTGTCTACATTATGAATAAAAGCAAGATCTATAGAATGCACGAAAAGACCGCTTGAAAAGGCTCTTAGGGAAAAAAAGAAATCTTCGAAAACACTGTTTTGCCGGGATTTATCGTTCAAATCAGAAAGATCGTTTTGTGACGCTGTCATTCTGAAAGTAGAGATCAAGAGCTTTAATATGATATACAATTTGTCAAAATTGGGTTTAGAATAACAAAGAGGTACAGAGCCAAATGTCCCGTACCCCGCGTTTGGGGTAGCGAGGTAGCGCGCAACGCGCGCAGACCAGCAGGGGAGAAAGACCAAAGCCGACGGGGCATTTGGTTCCGGTCCTAGATCTCTGCGGGATCTAAACGAAATCTTGCAACATTATATGTCATCCTAATCGTCATGACACAACGAGAAGCACTGACAACGTCCCAAGCGTTGGGAATCACTCATTAACGAAACAGACCACCATTTTCACGCGAATCTCTGCGCAAAATTTAAGCGCAGCTTTTAGTCTTTATCTAACTCCAACAGCTTTCCTAAACTTCTGAAACTCAATTCTGGTCAAATAAGAGATTAGATAAGAAATGTGGGCCCAAATTTTTGGGGAAATTTTCACAGAAATCTTTTCCCCAGCGTAAAAAAAGCTAAATAAACGCAAATTTTCGGTTTTGCTGAGGTACTTCAAAGATATATTCCCTATAGTTGCTTCACTCACGTTCATTCCGTTATAGTCGGGACTATAACATCCGGGGCGATGCACCAGATGACCTCTTTTTTTCTAGGTAAAGTTGTGTTCTTTTATGTTACTCAAAGTGAAGATTACCATACATGACTCTGTGTATCGTGGGAATGCTCCTCCACTATTCTAACAGTAGAGTCGTAAGTATGAAAGCGCGAAATCGCTCCACCCAATCCTGCCCCTCGTTCCGTACTCGCTTAATAGCAACTTTCTAGCAAACGCGGACATGGAAAGGTTTGAAAATCTCATTTTCGCCGTATTTGTGCGCTGCAAAGTCCAGATATGGATCCTGCATGATGAAATGGCCCAAAAAAATGGAAAAATGGCGACCAAAATGTGGCTGGGACACTGCCTTTGAGCAATCAATTCACCTGTTCAACTCAAGGACAATTAAACGGTACAAGAGAGTAACTAAACGGCGAAGCTGCAACATAACAACAACCGTACGCAGTAGATTTGTTTGTAATAGTTGCTTTTGCTATATAACTGTACCAGCAGAATGCTCCTTTCTCTGTAGTTTTTTTGTTCACAAGATTCTGAGGCAGGGCTCGGCACGAGCTGGCACCAGGAAATTTTCAAAACGAAGTCCCTCTTGACTTTTGGGAATTTTTACGAAGTCCTCTTTGATCCTCAACGATATCCCGTCTAAAATCCTAAAAAAAACCCCAAAAACGAGACGTCGACTAAAAAAAAGGTCGCCGTCGCCAATTTTGCGTATATCTTCACCCACAAAAACGAAACCCCCTTTGCTTTTTGGCGAATATAGGTGCGTAAAAGTAGCAGATATAATGAGATGATTATTTTTAGAATGGAACAAATTAAAGAAAGCTCGTGAGAAGCCGTCTCAATCATCTAAAAGTCTGGTTGCGATATAGATGAGTTTGCAGCAACACTGAAATAACGTACTTCGAACAAGATAAGCTGCTCTGTTTTGAAGTTCTCGCAAGGCTGCTGTTGGTTCCTTAAGATGAATTTGTGCAACCATCACTTCACAACGACCTACTCTCATTGGAGTTCTTGCTATATTCAAATACGTTCTTCCGCCTCTATCTAGCTTTCGCACGTGTTGAGAAAGCGTTCGAGAAAGAATTATGGTTTAATCTCATGCAGCAAGTGTTATCAGGCTTCTGAGGGAATAGATCTGAATTTGCGGTCTTCAATAAGATGTAAAAACTCATTTATACAACATAGCTCGTAACCCGTAAAAAAATCACCGCACTCCGCCCGAGTTCACCGAACTTGTTGCATCGCCATATTTTGCTTTGTTATGATCGAACTCTCGCTTTAAAAGCGCCATTCAGCTCAGCTCTACGAGATGCATCTTTTTGATATATAAACGTGCACGGTTGGACGCGGTAGTCGGTCAAATTTCAAGAATTTTTCCAGTAGTGCTTGCGGTAGATTACTCAGTGTGTTAAATCATTGCACAACGACTAACCTACAGAAGCAAAAACTTGGAAAGGTTCTTTAATTATGAACGACTATTGTGCCCAAACAGACACTTCTACATATCGAAAGGTGCATCTCGTCGAGCTGAGAACGGTGTTTTTGGAAAGAGAATTGGTTTCCTCCAAAGCAAATATGGCGTTGCAACCAAAGTTTAGCAAACTTCGCCATAGTGCGGTGATTTTTTTTACAAATTACGAACTGTATTATTATTTTTACAAATTACGTATTGTATATGAGTTTATGAATACAAATCGTCATTTGATCAATCAAAAGCCATTTATTCAGCCAGGTGATGAGCAAGCATTAGAAACGTGAAAACAGCACATGAACCCTACGTTACGCTATGATGACACAACGAAACGAACTATTCACTTTTGACTTTTATTTGTTCAGGTCTATTCGCTACAATCCCTGACAAGGCATACATAATATCAAATGTTTTCGCTATCGCGAACCTCAATAGTTTCCAAACGATTAGTGCCGTTAGCAATACAAGTAGTGATAAAAATGCAATGACATCGAGAGAATAATACTGTATGAAATTGAGTTTGTTACCAGCCGGTATGAGATTTTCCAGCGTTTTAAACTCTGCTACAAACTCAGTCCAACGTACTAACAGCTGTGAGACACTCACCGGCTTCTTCTTCAGCATTTGGGACAATCGCTTGACTTTGCCGGAATAACTAAAACTAATAATCAAGCTGATAAAGCTGCAGATCAAATTACCTTTTATCCGTGAGTACTTTATTTATGGCGGCTGCTATCGAATCAGCACTGAGGTCGCTTTTTTGGAGGACAATTGCAATTCCATGCTTTTCGGCTAATTTTGCATTCTTTGGCTGATCTCCAAATAACGGTATTACAAGTAGTGGTATGCCAGCCGTGATTGCCTCCTGTCAAACATTGCATTTTGGAAGATTGAGGCATGAAGGTTTGTAAAATGTTTGTAAAATTAACAAAAGGAGTTCTCTCAATAATGGTCTACATGGTGTGCAATACTGTACCAGAAACGATGATTCTTTGTTTGCAAGAGAAGGATACTGGTGACCGTGGTCTTTCATAATGAGGTGAAATTGGAAAACGCACCTGTGAATGCTGGTTCGATTCCAAAATTAGAATGCACTGCTGCATCGTTTAAAATTATCAATACAAATTTTCCTTGCCCCTCAAACTGCTGTGTGTGAATAATCTTTTCTTAATACAACATCATTCTGTCTCAGATTCCCCTTTGTAGCATTGAACAAAATTATACCAATATTGGTGATTTCAACTGTCCGAAAATAGACAGAGTTTCTTGAAAACGTTCATAACTTCCTTCACAAGAATGCTTCGCAGACAGCGAGATCATATACAAATTCATCGTTTAGGTGCTACTCAAAGTATACATGGCATTCAAAGGCTGCTGTCACCAAGTATCCTTCCCTTGAGAACAACCGATTTTCAAAAAACATATAGGGCTGAACTCAGTGCATACTTAGTTTTGAAATAAGTGAGAACACTATCTTAAGACCCTCAACTATTTCAATGTCATCCCTAGGTTGAGTCATACAGAACCTTACCATAAGAGTCAAATACTCGATATTAGTTATGATCTAAGTTCAAAGAGAGTGGAATATAGGCTTCCAGAAGAAGCGTGTAACTGAGTCTGAGCCCCTATCACCGCTGTTCGGTAGCCAAATCTGACTTTGCCCCTTCGTCTTGCAGGGATATTGAATGCTGAATCGTACACAGCAGGGCGTAACTTCATTGGCCCCACATGATCAATCCATATGCACTGTTGTAATAATTTCAAAAGCCCTGCAGGGCAAAAATATACTTTGTTAGTTCCACAACAATTTTTAGTGGTCAAAGACGCTACTCCGCTGAAGATTATCATGCCCGACATGGAATTGGCAGCAAGCTATTGACAATAAGTACGTTTGCGAGTCTATCAGTATAGGAAACATACTTTTTTTGATTAGTATTTGTGTAACAATTTTACACCAACTTTTTCAAATCACAGGGGTTGTTCTTCACATATATTCACATTACCTGAACGCTGTTGTAGCCTCCATGTGTTATGAGGGATATTGTTTTATTGCTCTGCAGCAGATCTGATTGCGGAAGCCATTTAAACGTGTGCACGTTGGGTGGAAGTTTGCCTGCAAAAGTTACTACATATTGTTTTGCCGCAAATATCTACGTCAAAATTATATTTTTATTACATTAGTTTGTCCGGACATTAACGACTATTTCTTACGCGATCGCAGCAAGGTAGGTATAAAATGTGAGAAACATATCGCTCGGTGGAGAAAACAAGCTCTACAAGATGGCATTCGAACAATCGCAAAAAATCTCGATCCATTTGAAGTTTACAGTCTTCATCCAAAGAGATTCTGCAAACTCAAACTTGGCCGTATATTATCCCACATCAGACATTCAAATGTACAATTGCTTAATTTATCACGGTTAGAAGTCGAGAAAAAAATTAGCATACTTTGACAATTGAGCTACTCTAACAAATTGGTTACTCTACACTGCAGACCAAAACCTTGCAATAACCATAGATTTTCACCTTTCCAAGAGCTAGTTGAGAGATATACGATAAACCCGAGAATACATTTTCGCATATTTTACCCATTCTTATTTTATTCTTTTGAATTTTAGCCATGAAAGAATGTAGCAAATATCATATGAATGTGTGATGTAGGGAGTGCATACGTGACCAAGCCGTGACTGTGACGCTTACAGGGTCTTTTTGAACTCTGATGCGATTTTGGGTACATGAATTTGTTCAAGTTTGGCTTTAATTACGTAAATCAAACTTTTTGTGGCTGTGCGGATGCCCTTACCCTGCTGCGATTGTATAAAGAAGGTCATTAATCTCAGAATAGTCTAGTAGTTGAACAGCCTAATGTCTTATAGAAACAATGTTTTTGAAATGGCTTTTAGACTAGCTTCTTCGAATTTTTGTTTGAGAGTCTCCCAACAGCCCACTATAACTGTCGAAAGAACCTTCTACCTTGTAAATCTGATCCAACATATCGCCAAATGAAATGGTAAGAAGGGTAACGCTTAAAGGCTCCAATGAAAGCTTCCTTCCAACTCATTGGCATTTTGTGGCTGGGTGCGATAGAACCAAATGAAAATACAAAAACACCAGTTGCTCTGTCGTAAATGTGCTGGAATCCCTAAAATCATGAACGATATAAATTATTTTAACTGGTTTTTTGACAAACATACTGAATCTAGCGGTTTTGATTTTTTCATCTGAATTCCTACACCACCGATATTTATGACTTTAGCCAATGTTGGTCGAGGAAAATCGTATAGTTCATTCGAGTTAACCATCACCTGTAAATAACAATGATTTTCTGAGAATCAACTAGAGGAGATTTTTTTTTGCCATAGCTGCCTATCGGTACAATTAGAGGACGGTTCCACTTGATAAGTTGCCAAAAATTTTAACGGACAACATAAGACGTTGCATTTTTGCAAAATGCATTTTTCGCTGCTACTGCGCCGAATGAAGGCGCAGAAACTGTATTGCTAGTTAGCGCAAACGTTACGCGGGCGTAAATTCATCGTTGTAAGTCGTGCGCCCGAAACCGCGTTCGCGCCATAAGTTTTGCGCCTTCGTCCGCCACCAGCCTATACTTTCAATCTAATTTTTACGAAAGTTTCGCATCTCAAACCCAGTTCGCATTGTGCTAAGAATTCTCTAGCCTGAACCATGCCTAAAATCCTGTTGAGAATACTACCTCAGCAATTAGTGTGGTAGCACCATCGTATTAATACTTCAGACTTTACCTTCAAATGTTTTAGGGGCAGACTCTTACAGTTCCTTGTTTTCTATCTAATTCGTCGTGAAACTACTCACCAGCGGGCAATTTTTCGCTAGATCCACCAAATCTGGGAAGTCAGGGTCGAGCTGTTCTCGAAAGATCTCGGTCTCTCTGTCTGCCAATAGCCTAAATCAATTTTCTTTTTTGTTTTCCATAGGTATTGCCTTTATATATAACACCTTTTCCACATGGGAACCAATAACAAGTGTCCAAGAAAACTCTTTGTCCTTTCCAGGAAGCTCATGCGATCGGCGGCTTCCATAATGTAAGCTAGAGTGATTTTTGAGAACAAAGATTCCGCACAGACTTCCATGATAATCATTTTCAATTTTCATCCAGGTGGTATTGGAAGGCCCAAAACTGTCTCATTTTATGCCAAAACCCATATCGTTACAATACAACAACTAGTGTACACATTTTGCCCTTATTGGACACTGCGCACAATCCACTTCAAAGATTGTGTTGGACGTCCTCAATAGAAATTCCGTCACTTGCCCCTGTTCCCCTTGTAACGGTACGCTTTTAGCTTCGTTGCTTTTCTCCGAGCTGCAGCGCTAAAGAGGAAAATACCTTTTTGGAACGAATCATCTGAAATCTAGTGATTAATAACGAATGCCACATCAAAGGCTGCCGAGCATGTATGGTGAAGGAACTAAGGAATAGTGGTGCATGCCCATTCCATAGAAAGTGTGGACAATGCGGCCCAAACAGTAGGTACCCTCATAGTTTTTTTTCTGATCTGATGAAACCTGTCTACTTCAGTTTTTGAATCAGGATAGAAGTTATGTTACGTAAAGCAAAGCTCTACAAAATGCCCTCCAACTCGCAAAATCTGTTCTACATGAAGTTTAGACCAGGGCTTGGCACAGGTGGCTTACAAGCAAGTTGGATATTGTTTTTGAGACAAATAGCAAAAGGATATCGTTTTTGTACTTGCCGGATACGACGTTTTCTTAGTCGATGTTTCGTTTTTTGAGGTATTTATGTTTATGGTTTAGGGTCAAAGGAGACTTCGTAAAATTTTGGGAAAGTCAATTAGGACTTCGTATTTTGCATTTTCGGAAAGCCACCACGTGCCGAGCCCTGGTTTAGAGCCGAAGAAAAATCTCAATTGTCCAGTAAACCTCTTATTGAAAATCTTAGTTCTAGGAAAGTTCCCCAACTTGTTCACGCATATGATCGCAGTACACTACATAAGTTCCACGTTAACATGAGGCTAATCGTTTTGTACGACATTTGTTGATGCGGAAGAGCCTATCCCCAGCCAAAATGGAATTAAGCCTATGTTGTGCCCGTTCTTTTGTATATCCTTCTGTTGACTCAAGCTAAAGGGTGACGAGAAAGAGGTACGGTAGCTGGTAGGCGTCAATGACCCATTTCACTCTCATTCACCCTAAGTGAAAAATTTGCGACTGGTGAGCTTTCGTTTCTTTTTAACTCACACCCTATCAGACGTGCACCCATACTTCTCTTCAAAATATTTTCGGATACAATGATTTTTGTGCACGACATAACTTTCATCTGTGTTAGATTAGGAAAACAGTAGTAATGTTCTGATACCTCGACAAGAATTGTCTTAATATCTGCTACTTTCCCGGGGAGTAATTACTGTGATAAAATTGTATGTTTCCGCTATGAGTTCGTATCGTGCAGTGCGAAACTTCTTAGAAAACAGAAAAAAACCCACGAGGTATATAGCTTGGGATTATTGGCATCCCCATGAAATAAGCAACATAGTCCGCGAGGGGAGTGCTGTATAACAATGATTATATCGAGAAAGCAAAATTAGGTAAGATTTCACCTGTCAAGCCATATCCAGGTAGGTATTTGGGCCTTGTAAATAAGTCCAATTGGACAAAGACCAACTACGTGACTGAATGCTATGTCAAAGCGTTCTGCAGTCAACCACTTTAGCAGCTCCTTATTCTCTACCATTTCTGTAAAACCACTTGTTTCCAGTGCCAAACTGTATCGAACTTCGTAATGTAATGAAAAACTTCAAAAGGTTGAAAAAACATGTTGAAAAACGGAAACAATAAAAACACAATTCAGCCAACATTTTTTCGAGTAAATATAGTTATCAATCTATAGATGCTGCATCAATACTCATGCCAGCGAGGGGAGCACAACTCAACGAAATCTCTTCATGATCTGTTCAGAAAAATTTGAGTTGCCTCTACATTTTGGGAATCTTTACTCTGACACGAAATATTGAACTAGAGCATGTCATCGTCTGAGCAGAATTTCTCAATTTCGTATAGATTCATCGATGATCCCTAGACGGCAGGGCGGACCGAAGGCGACCCCCCCCCCCCCCCAGAGAATGGGTCGCAAAATTTTTGACTTACATGGGATTTAAAAATGTCAAGTGACTTGTTTACACTCTAAATAACTAAAATAATTTTTAAACATTTATAAAAATTTTAAATTAGCCTCGTAAAATTTTTTTTCGGGAGCAGTTTGAGAGGCACCCTAAAAAATTTTTCGGAGTACGTGGCTAACGCCACGCACCTTTTTGAAAAATTTTTTTGCCCCCCCCCCGGACGGGAATCCTGGGACCCCACTGCTAGACGGTAGTTCATCTTTTCCCGCGAGTCATTTGAGCTTCTACGAAGGCTATGAAAATCACAGATGTTCACCAAAAATGATCCAGAAGATAACTATCTCAGATAAGCATATCCTAACCGCAGAGAAAGACTGCAGTGATGGGAAGCAGTTTTACGTAGAACTTAGGACATTCTTCATGTTATTAGAAGGCAGATGATTGTTTTCAATAATTATGTACATAATACATTTTATCAGTGAATCAACACATGCTCATGGGTCAATCATATGAAAGAATCGATTGTCAAACCTGCATTGATTCAATTTGATGTTTGGTAAAACTGCCACTTTTACGTTTTAGTTATGTAAAGGAATGCTAGAAATGGTGAACCGAACATGATACTCAATGTAAACCGTTCTCGAATCTCACATAATCTTCTTTTCCTGTTATTTTCTGGCGATCAATGTCATTCATGTGTTAAGTAAGATTGTGGAGGATTGCTAATTTAATTCATGACTGGCTGAGTGTCTCCGTAGCAAATAAGTTTGAAGGGTGAAAGAAAATCTATCAAAACACATGGAGTCTACTGACCACATCAATGAAAGAAGCAATTCCGCATAAATTGCCCATCGATCTGTATTGAAGGTAACAATTTTTGGAAGTATTAGGTTGGTGCAAAAGTAATGCGCGTTTTTCTGGCCCTTGTTTCAAGATAACTTTTCTCCATCAAAGTTTTTCCTACGAAACTCACCCAGCATATTGTCAAGAAGCTTCTTTCATGCTCTATTCAAAGGTGGTTGAAAGAAGCTTCTAGCCTCATTCGTTAAAAATTTATAGAGCTTCATACAACCGCACTCAAAACCAGAATTTCATTGCACTTACTTTTTCGGCCAGAATTCAAGCGTGAGTAAAGGCATTCTTTTGAAAATTTAACTACTGTATGTAGCAGAAATTTTCTGCGTTATGCGCGCTTTATTGTTTTCCTAGAGATTACTTAGTCTGAGATCTTGGCGCCTCAACATGAGTAATGGTTTTGGCCATTCTGTGGCCCATAGATTTTCTTTGAAGAGGGCTATCGCCAAAGTTTTGCTCATTTCTGTAAGCGTAAGGGTGGGCCTCCTGTTAACAGTTTTTGCAGAAATGTTGAGGCTGTTCAGTACACAGAAAATCAAAAATCTCCATATTTTGGGATTTTGAGGGCTACAAAAAAATGTCGAAAAAAGCGGACAATTTTGAATATTATTTTTTTCCTTTTCGCAAACATTCTTTATTTGAGCCCTTTTGTACTTTTTTTGTACTACTGGCTTGCGGCTACAAGACAGTCAACTTATCATTCATACCGATAAATCTCAAAGGAAGTTATGATCAGTTAAAAACGAGGTTTCCGAAAAAAAAATTTTTTTTTAATTCATATTTTTCCACCGATTTGCGAAGTTGAAAAAAGTTAATGTGCGCTGTATAGAGAGAGGTTTGGTGCCTCTGAAGAACTTTGCCGCACTGAAAAACATGGATTTTTTAGAAAGTTATAGCACGCAAAGTGAGAACTCGCAAAACGCGCATTACTTTTACACCAACCTAATAAAAAGGCATTTTCTTTGAAAAGTTTACTCGAATGAAAATATAGGTGTAAGACATGCTAGATTTATGAATTTGGGCAGCTGATCATAGGCTAAAACCTGTGTTTTCTGGTCGTTTAAAGCTTCAAAAAATACTTATTATCTATTCTGGGACTAGGAGGCCTAACAATTAATTTTTGTAATTTTGAATCCATCCTGTAGCAAACTTGTCCTGTCAAACTTTTATATAAAGTAGAAAAACAAAAGAAGAAGGAAATTATCAGAGAACAACATCCACTATATACATACGACAAATGTAAACACTATGCATTTTTTCCAAACATTGGTGAAAACTTCACTTATAGTTTTAATATATTTGCTGAAGAAACTAGGAAACAAGTTTTTTTGCCGAAACCTTGTCTACTGTAAAGTTTTTAAATGCATGAGTGGTGTGAGAAGGCATTCCCTTGATGCAGCGTTCTTATACTAACTATTTAGGGGCAGCCCACCACTAGTGGCACAGGAAGTTCAAGTCTCTTATGCGGTCTCCTGCAGCAGCAGCGCTCTATTTCTGTCACCGCACTCGTCCAGGCTCGAAACTCTGTATAGGACCGGCATGAAGGATTAGACATAGCTCATACTACACTTTTTTGGTTTCTGTATCATTATCACATGCCTGCAGTTTCGCCATCAAAGGTGTTTCGGTTTAGCGCTATGACTGCAAGTCTCAAATGGTGCATTTACACAATACTTTGGACGAAGGCGACTGTGTACTTTTGCAAACTACAGCGGATTCGCACCAACGTAAGATGAACATTATTGTTGAGCCATCTTTTCCTTAGTTGCAGGATAGCTCGTACAGACAATAAGTCTGTCACTTACTTTGACAGGTTACTCTAGACAATGTTGTCATTCTTGCCATTCCTTCATGAAGTCTCTTATCCCATATTGAGAGGTCCTGAAAATCTGAAATACCCTGAGTAAATTGCCAATGCAAAGCAAACCTCAAAAATGATACTTTCTTGCATATCGAGAAACTCCTTCTTGCTCATACCACCAGAGGCGTTTACGTAGTATACTAAACAAATATGGAGATATGATGACAAAATGATTGAACCTTTTGTTAAAAGCAATCGTAGGAGATCTCACTTTGTCATCAACTGTCTAAAAGACTCGTACAAAGCGGCAAAGCATTTATTTACGTGAGAGCACAAGCTGTGCCATATCTCGCGTTATCAAATAGCAGCTCTTTTGGAATACTCTGTGCTTGCCATCATAGCGTCTATTTCATCTTTTCGATTGGTAACAAAAATTTATAATTTTGACATACTTTTGATGTTGTTCTCAACATCCACGTACTTCGATTCCGAGTCAGAATTCAGCGAATTAATGAAGATCATTGTTACATCGTGGCCTGCATCGGCCAGGATTTGTGCTATCCGTCTATTGAAAAGAACCTGCAAGACGACAATACGAAAATGTTCGTGCTATAAGTGAATTTATGGCGGTTGAGCTAAAATTGTTATGCTTACTTACAATTATTCGATCTCGCATAAAAACACTATGTATTGTAAAATGCGAATTTTGACTGATATATTGTGGTTAGCTTACGTAGGTTATACATAACGGCATTTAAGCTTCTGCATAATTTGTGGATATTTGATAAGAAGCTAAAAAATCGTGTTTGTTGATTTAGATGAGCAATTAACGGTATCAGTAAAGTCGCTGATGCTGTGGTTGCTTCTCCCGCCGAATGAACAGTTTTGCAAAAAAACTTGTTTATTTCAATCTGCAATGCAGTCTAAAGTGGAGAAAAGTGGATTTTTTTTTGAAGAACAAAGCAGAGCCAGGCGATACGGGAAGCATTGCCAGATGCAAAGATATACTATGTCAAAATTAGCTCGCAGCAGGCAACTTGGAGAATACTAACTATGGCAATAGAAAGGCTTCAGTTAGGTTGAATCGGACTTTGGATACTATACAGGCCAAGCAACGGAAGTCGTGAAAACAGCTAGCCATTGTTTTGAGAAAAAAGCAGGTATACTGTCAAACGTCTTCTATACGCACATGCCTGTTCTCATGGAGAACCACATCTGATTTTCGCGGAATCAAAAATGACGCAATAATCAACGAGCAACTTGTTTATAGCACAAGAGCCATATGACACTGCTTTAGAGTACGGAAGTATTCTCTGTTTGCGTTTGCTTTTGAGTATCGTCAACTGTTTTGTACGCCTATGCCTCCCATTAAAACTTTTTCATACTCAGACAGTCGACGGCATACCTCCGGAGCAGAAATGGCCGAGCCGCGGGGTTTCCCCAGCTGGGGATTGCCACTCGTGCTCCGGAGCCCTCCCATTTGTGCTCCGGAGACCTCCCATTTATGCTCTGGAGTCCTCCCATTTTGTGCTCCGGAGACCTCCCATTTTGTGCTGCGGAGACCTCCCCCCCCCCCCCCCACTTGTGCTCCGGAGCTCTCCCATTTTGTGCTCCGGAGACCTCCCATTTGTGCTCCGGAGCCCTCCCATTTTGTGCTCCGGAGACCTCCCATTTTCTGCTCCGGAAACTTTTGTGCTCCGGAATCCTCCCATTTGTGCTCCGGAGCCCTCCCATTTTGTGCTCCGGAAACCTCCCATTTATGCTCTGGAGTCCTCCCATTTTGTGCTCCGGAGACCTCCCATTTTGTGCTGCGGAGACCTCCCCCCCCCCCCCCCCCACTTGTGCTCCGGAGCTCTCCCATTTTGTGCTCCGGAGCCCTCCCATTTTGTGCTCCGGAGACCTCCCATTTTCTGCTCCGGAAACCTTTTGTGCTCCGGAATCCTCCCATTTGTGCTCCGGAGCCCTCCCATTTTGTGCTCCGGAAACCTCCCATTTTGTGCTCCGGAGGCCTCCCATTTTGTGCTCCGGAGACCCCCATTTGTGCTTCGGAGCCCTGCCATTCTGTGCTCCGGAGGTGTCCCAAATCTGGCGCATTCGCGGCGGGCAAGTCTCTCCGCCGCGGCTCTCCCAAATCTGGCGTACCTCCGGAGCAGAGATGCGTACCTGGCGAGCAGATCCGGAGAAGGGTCCCACTCGCCTGCCGGTGACGTCACCGTGACCTACAAGAAGGGACCGTCCCCTCGCCCCGCTCTCAATGGTCAATTGGGTCCGCCGCGGCTCTGCCAGATTTCGACTGTCCGGCGCGACTACGGTACCGATTGTCGGAGTACATATTTGTCATATCTATTGACGCGTTAAACATGATAAGCGTACACAAGTGACAGGTGTCTTGCGCGCACAACTCACCCGCATCTTCATCCCTGCTCCGCCCGTCGGGACTGGCCAATTACAGCCGAGTTGTTGACCGACCAAGGGCGGTATCTATCAATTTTCTATGCATCCCTCTCATGCCTGTTCGGGAACCTACTGTGGAAAGGCAGCATATCAGCGTGAACTGGAGCATACCAATAGCGCCTGCTGGCGTAAACTTTGCGTATCGCAAACATTTGAAAGCCCATCGTTCTTTATTGCTTCTTCTTTCCTTTCGATCCTCGAGGACAGTTTTTGTATTGATACGCACCTGTGATTATCATGTCAACAATAGTAAAGTCAGAGTGAGGAGTTAAAGTCACTTTTTCTGAAGGGTGCCGGACGTCCAATTCGTCCTAAATATCAATGCAATGAGTATCATTGTATTGTAGGACGGTTCAAAGCACAGGGATAAGTTAGAATTGCAGAAATGTGCAAATCAATCAAGAAGTCTTATTTCCTGTCTGAATGAAAACAAAACATATCAAACTGTAAATAGAAGGCTGGAATGCACCACAGTACTAATCAGAATTTTCCATCACCATACTGTCTGGTTCTCAAACTAGGATAGGGCTCAAGGATCCGATTGGCAAGTTTGGCCATGTCGGACACGGCGCTCTCGAAGATCCGGCTCTGCTGCCCGTTCGGGCTATGCAACCAAAGTATAGTTTATTTATAAAGGCGTGGCGATGGATTTCAATGCGGACTTTGCCCCCACAGGAGCATAAAACGCTCATACAAGAAGACATCACTTCAACGTTCACAGTCACTTCCAGTGTCTAAATATTATCATACGTAAGCGAAGAAACCATTCGACTAGAGACGAAAACCAAGAAGAGACGATTTCCGGAAGTGGCCTGCGTATCTCACGCAGTCGCGCCATCGTCACGATTTTTCAAATACCTATAAGGGTGGAATACTTTCGCCTGTCCTGTGTATAACGATGCACAAACAGCGAGCGGGAGATTGATAAATACCGCCCCAGGTTGCTGTGGCGAGCGGTTCAAAAAAGCAATTTTGGTTACAAGAAATCGAGCTCGTTTGAATTTGATATGGTAGCAGCACAACGAATAGAACGTTTGGCTTTGTTTCTAACGTAGCAGTATTTTTTGATTCTGCAGTCAATCTCTTGTTAATTTAATTGCTTTAGTCCAGCAATAGTGACACCCACTTATAAAACTTTCTTATCGATACTAGTCCAGGCAATAAAATTTAAACGGCGAATTTTTTACCTGACTGTTGACAATGCTGGGGACAAAAAGAGCCATTTTGTAAGCAGTACTGTAGTAGCAGCATGTATGCAGCAAGAAATAGCAGAGCGATATAGGCATTGGAAGCATCATAATAGCATGTTGGGCCCAATTCTCCGTTGCAAAGTAAGTACAAAATTATCAATATGAGCAACGAAGTGATTAGAACTTTATTTACTTGCGGAACAAAATAGTTTCTTATCAATAAGTCATGTGTTTTTTTGGTCTAAGACTGTTATGTTATCAAGCAAAGGCATCTTCACAGCGCCTATGTCAGGGGCTGTCAGTATATGAGCAGGTACTTCTTTGTGATGTGAGTATCTTTCGAAATGTACGAATGTCGTTATTTTAGTTGCAAATCCCATAATGCTCAATGTAAGGCGTGAAAGAATATATTCACATCTAGAATTTAAAAGGTGCTGAGTTAACCATTGCAAGAAGCGATCTTATATTGGGTTGATGCAACATCAATGCATGTTTTTACTTCAGAAGCGCACTTTTCATGCTAGCCTCTATTTCGACAGGAACATCTCAGATTGAAGCTCTTGCATGTTCGTCCTCACGCATAAAATTGAAAAATCTTGCACCAAAATAAGTCGAAATGCATGGAATCTTTGGCTCGTAGTAAACCCCTGGACATAAAAGTCTTGGGCGCTCTCAAGAACGAAACCCTTTGAGCAGGTTTGATGAATGGCTAGGTGAATGGAATTCAGCGCGAAAGGTATCCGTCGAAGTTGGCTAACGGCGAAATTTTGCGCCACTGCTGAGCAAACTTTAATAGCGGCCATTATCGACAATATCGATGGTGATTGCTTTCAAGGATATTGCCAAACGAATAAACAAAACAAAAGTACGATTTCTTAACGAGTCCATGAAAAAACGAGGATGTTGAAATATAAATATTAGGTTGCCTCATAAGTTTTCAATTTTGACTTCCTGAAGCAATAAATCACATATTTCTCAATTCTGATTATAATGTAGGGTACCGTTCGATAGAGCAAAGCAAGCTCCTAAAAATGGCGTGTAAGTGTTTGCACCAGCTTCAGCACATCACGAGTTAGCCGAAATCCGAGAATTTCTGGATGCCCAGAAAATTGAAAATTTTCTGTAACTTTGCCCGAAGAAAACTTACCAAATCCCAAACTCGCTCACGCATATACACTCCAAAAAACGCATTTATATGAGTCGTTGCTGTGTTTGTTTCTGTGGTAGGAAAAAACTAAAATTTATCAAGCTTCCAAAAAAGCGATGCTGCGCTGTTTGTACTTCTATAGGCCTGTAGTATTACACTTCCTTGTTTCACACAAGGAAGTGTAATACTACAGGCCTATAGAAGTACAGTCACAAATTTCCAGCTTTGCATAAAGTCTAGTTCCCATGAAATATCAACTTCAAAGTATAATACACTAGCTGGCTTACCCGGCTCCGCCGTATGTTCCGAATAGAAAATTCCATTTCTTAACCGATCCGAACCAAACTTGGCACACATACATTTCGGGCCCCGGCGGGTGTTACAGTCCACTTTTCGTTATCGATTGATGTCGATTTTATCGATTTTTTGCGAAATTCGAGCTAGGGGACTGGGATTTGGCACAGGGGGGTAATCGAGCATGCTGATTACGAATACAATATTAGTTTTCGAAACCGTGCATTACTTTTATCGATTTTATCGATTTTTTGCAAAATTTGAGCTAGGGGACTGGGATTTGGCACAGGGGGGTAATCGAGCATGCTGATTACGAATACTATATTAGTTTTCGAAACCGTGCATTACTTTTATCGATTTTATCGATTTTTTTGCAAAATTTGAGCTAGGAGGCTGGAATTTGGCAGGGGGTGTAATCGAGCATGCTGATCACCCCCGTGGATAAAATCGATAAAAGTAATGCACGGTTTCGAAAACTAATATAGTATTCGTAATCAGCATGCTCGATTACCCCCCTGTGCCAAATCCCAGTCCCCTAGCTCAAATTTTGCAAAAAATCGATAAAATCGATAAAAGTAATGCACGGCTTCGAAAACTAATATTGTATTCGTAATCAGCATGCTCGATTACCCCCCAGTGCCAAATCCCAGTCCCCTAGCTCGAATTTCGCAAAAAATCGATAAAATCGACATCAATCGATAACGAAAAGCACTCCTTCGTGAGCCTTGACACTCCTTCGTGAGCCTTGACACTCCTTCGTAGGCCTTGACACTCCTTCGTGAGCCTTGACACTCGTTCGTGTGCCTTGACACTCCTTCGTAGGCCTTGACACTCCTTCGTGAGCCTTGACACTCCTTCGTGAGCCTTGACACTCCTTCGTAGGCCTTAACACTCCTTCGTGAGCCTTGACACTCCTTCGTGAGCCTTGACACTCCTTCGTGAGCCTTGACACTCCTTCGTAGGCCTTGACACTCCTTCGTGAGCCTTGACACTCCTTCGTAGGCCTTGACACTCCTTCGTGAGCCTTGACACTCCTTCGTAGGCCTTGACACTCCTTTGTGAGCCTTGACACTCCTTCGTAGGCCTTGACACTCCTTCGTGAGCCTTAACACTCCTTCGTGAGCCTTGACACTCCTTCGTAGGCCTTGACACTCCTTCGTAGGCCTTGACACTCCTTCGTGAGCCTTAACACTCCTTCGTGAGCCTTGACACTCCTTCGTAGGCCTTGACACTCCTTCGTAGGCCTTGACACTCCTTCGTGAGCCTTGACATTTTTTCGTGAGCCTTGACACTCCTTCGTGAGCCTTGACACTCCTTCGTGAGCCTTGACACTCCTTCGTAGGCCTTGACACTCCTTCGTGAGCCTTAACACTCCTTCGTGAGCCTTGACACTCCTTCGTAGGCCTTGACACTCCTTCGTAGGAATTGACACTCCTTCGTGAGCCTTAACACTCCTTCGTGAGCCTTGACACTCCTTCGTAGGCCTTGACACTCCTTCGTGAGCCTTGACACTCTTTCGTGAGCCTTGACACTCCTTCGTGAGCCTTGACACTCCTTCGTGAGCCTTGACACTCCTTCGTGAGCCTTGACACTCCTTCGTAGGCCTTGACACTCCTCGTGAGCCTTGGCACTCCTTCGTAGGCCTTGACACTCCTTCGTGAGCCTTGACACTCCTTCGTAGGCCTTGACTCTCCTTCGTGAGCCTTGACACTCCTTCGTAGGCCTTGACTCTCCTTCGTAGGCCTTGACACTCTTTCGTGAGCCTTGACACTCCTTCGTGAGCCTTGACACTCCTTCGTGAGCCTTGACACTCCTTCGTAGGCCTTGACACTCCTTCGTGAGCCTTGACGCTCCTTCGTGAGCCTTGACACTCCTTCGTGAGCCTTGACACTCCTTCGTGAGCCTTGACACTCCTTCGTGAGCCTTGACACTCCTTCGTGAGCCTTGACACTCCTTCGTGAGCCTTGACACTCCTTCGTGAGCCTTGACACTCCTTCGTAGGCCTTGACACTCCTTCGTGAGCATTGACACTCCTTCGTGTGCCTTGACACTCCTTCGTAGGCCTTGACACTCCTTCGTGTGCCTTGACACTCCTTCGTAGGCCTTGACACTCCTTCGTGAGCCTTGACACTCCTTCGTAGGCCTTGACACTCCTTCGTGAGCCTTGACACTCCTTCGTGAGCCTTGACACTCCTTCGTGAGCCTTGACACTCCTTCGTAGGCCTTGACACTCCTTCGTGAGCCTTGACACTCCTTCGTAGGCCTTGACACTCCTTCGTGAGCCTTGACACTCCTTCGTAGGCCTTGACACTCCTTTGTGAGCCTTGACACTCCTTCGTAGGCCTTGACACTCCTTCGTGAGCCTTAACACTCCTTCGTGAGCCTTGACACTCCTTCATAGGCCTTGACACTCCTTCGTGAGCCTTGACACTCCTTCGTAGGCCTTGACACTCCTTTGTGAGCCTTGACACTCCTTCGTAGGCCTTGACACTCCTTCGTGAGCCTTAACACTCCTTCGTGAGCCTTGACACTCCTTCGTAGGCCTTGACACTCCTTCGTAGGCCTTGACACTCCTTCGTGAGCCTTAACACTCCTTCGTGAGCCTTGACACTCCTTCGTAGGCCTTGACACTCCTTCGTAGGCCTTGACACTCCTTCGTAGGCCTTGACACTCCTTCGTGAGCCTTGACACTCCTTCGTGAGCCTTGACACTCTTTCGTGAGCCTTGACACTCCTTCGTGAGCCTTGACACTCCTTCGTGAGCCTTGACACTCCTTCGTAGGCCTTGACACTCCTTCGTGAGCCTTAACACTCCTTCGTGAGCCTTGACACTCCTTCGTAGGCCTTGACACTCCTTCGTAGGCCTTGACACTCCTTCGTGAGCCTTGACACTCTTTCGTGAGCCTTGACACTCCTTCGTGAGCCTTGACACTCCTTCGTGAGCCTTGACACTCCTTCGTAGGCCTTGACACTCCTTCGTGAGCCTTGACACTCCTTCGTGAGCCTTGACACTCCTTCGTGAGCCTTGACACTCCTTCGTGAGCCTTGACACTCTTTCGTGAGCCTTGACACTCCTTCGTGAGCCTTGACACTCCTTCGTGAGCCTTGACACTCCTTCTTAGGCCTTGACACTCCTTCGTGAGCCTTAACACTCCTTCTTGAGCCTTGACACTCCTTCGTAGGCCTTGACACTCCTTCGTAGGCCTTGACACTCCTTCGTGAGCCTTAACACTCCTTCGTGAGCCTTGACACTCCTTCGTAGGCCTTGACACTCCTTCGTGAGCCTTGACACTCTTTCGTGAGCCTTGACACTCCTTCGTGAGCCTTGACACTCCTTCGTGAGCCTTGACACTCCTTCGTGAGCCTTGACACTCCTTCGTAGGCCTTGACACTCCTTCGTAGGCCTTGACACTCCTTCGTGAGCCTTGACACTCCTTCGTGAGCCTTGACACTCTTTCGTGAGCCTTGACACTCCTTCGTGAGCCTTGACACTCCTTCGTGAGCCTTGACACTCCTTCGTAGGCCTTGACACTCCTTCGTGAGCCTTAACACTCCTTCGTGAGCCTTGACACTCCTTCGTAGGCCTTGACACTCCTTCGTAGGCCTTGACACTCCTTCGTGAGCCTTGACACTCCTTCGTGAGCCTTGACACTCCTTCGTGAGCCTTGACACTCCTTCGTAGGCCTTGACACTCCTTCGTGAGCCTTGACACTCTTTCGTGAGCCTTGACAATCCTTCGTAGGCCTTGACACTC